TTAAGTGATTTGCATCGAGGCTTTAATTGCTTGTTGTTGCATTAATGCCCCCCTTGTGATAATGTGTATGTGACCTAACCACACCCCAAAGATGTCATCAATATAACGACGAAAAGACCTGTTGCATTAATGCCCCCCCCTTGTGATAGTGGGATTGCATGCATGCGATACTAAGTAAAAGCCTGAGCAAAGCATGTGAAGAAACTTAAGATTAGATATGGTAGTAATCATTAATTAAAAATACACACATTAATTTTTTAATTTTGATCATATTTAAATATGGATATGAGTGTATTTGCAAAACATCTCAAAACTTTTTCATGTTATACCACTGAAAACCAGGTCAATCAGTAATTAAACTAGTTAAATACTGTTGTTGGAGAGTGACAAAGTGACAAAGCATATCAATATCTTACCTCGCCATATTCAACACATTAATGCTAGAATACGTGTTAATAAAAAAAAAATAGTTGAAAAACAAAAATAGTTGAAAGATGTGGTCACACTGATTTGATGGTAAGTTGATTCATATTGTTATTCACCGATTTCTTCACGTTGGTAGTAATCGAGTTTACAATATAACTTCTTTCTTCTTCGGAGATCCTAGGATGGGAATCTGGAATATCCCATATCAAGAAAAACCAAAAAACACACCAGAATAGCGATATTATACCTAAACAGAAAAATAAACACACATTCACGTAATTTGTTTTTGAATCAAGCCTTTTTTTTTTAAAACATTAATATATCGATTATTCAATCAGTCTCCCATAAAGTTTCTTTTTGAACTTAAAGGTTTGAATAGCTGGAATTGTATCTACACCGTATAAGTTAAAATCCCAGATGATACGTAAGAATGAGCATGATAAATTGTCTAAATGTCGCATATTTGAGAACTTCTTTGTGATATTGCAATGGCCATTGGTGTAATGTGCAAGTATCTGCCAATATTATACTTGTATATCCATACTATTTTGTATTATTTACACATCCGGGTTACTGAAATAAAAGTGGAATCGAGGCTCCGGCCCCTCACCGTTACACCAAGTAACCGTACACACTCTATGAAAGTTGTCTCGTTGTACTATATTATGAGGTTGGTATATTTTTCCCTAAAATTGGAAAGTATGTTATACTTGTGCACCGAAACGTCCAACCATTCAATGATTTATTTAAATAAAACAACATTGATGAACCTACCAAATACGTAAAAACATGATTCCCATCCTAGTGCTACAGACAGCACACCCGACAATGACATAGCAACGATGCTTCCCCAGTTTACACCTATAATACAGAATAGTATGAATGCAATAGAATCGATTATGGAATACGTTGGTGAAACCTTGCAGATACTATTATATTGGGGTAATTAATGATAAAATTGAAATTCATCTTCCACATACGAACAGAGACTACTAGTATTTTAGTCGCCAGCTAATATGTGTAAGTTATGGCCGTTCATAGGCGAGATTTGGACCATTCTGATTTTTGTTTTCACTTCCATTGTCATTTTATTTTTCCTATTTTGACATACAAAATGATGTTCTTGAGGACTAATAAACATTTATATGGTATCATTTCGGGTAATGTTACAAACACTCGTGTCTGCTGACGTCAATCTAAAAGAGAATTGTACATATAGGTATAAACCCATGATTATGTTTTATGTTTTGTCAGGTTGATCTGATCAGGGTTGTGAACAATTGGAACACATAGGAGCATGTTGGTGGTTGGTTTAAGGGGTCATATGATGGAATCCGTCATTAAAGTTTAGACCGAGCAAGCTGATAGGAACTGAGAACACTTTATTGTTGTCCATTCTCCTTATTTATGGGTCACACTCTTTGTGATAAATTAACCTTTAATTAATAATAATTGACATTTTTTCTCGCACTCTAGGCGTACCACCTACCAGATTGGCTGAAAGATATCAGTCTGCTTCTCTCTAGAGGTGGCGCCCATTTACCCCACATTCCATATGATGATGGGAAAATTGGACCCTGTAATAACAGTACACGTTTCTGTGGTTAATTAATATCAAATATTACGATTTGAAATAACAGAAGATTCATCTGAATATAATTCAATGACACAGTCACCTTATAAATCATTTTGTAAAACGCGATACTCTTATATGTCGACTGACTTTAATATACACCTGGCAAAATCCTAAGAGAAACCGACAAGTGAAGATGGCTCCAAAACCAAGCCAAGCAGCAGCCGGTGTGAGCATTGTTAATATGGCACAGAGTAAAATGCTGCCTCCATACACACGCATTGCTCCGAATTTTCTTTCAAGCCATCCTCCCGGAATCTGCATAATCGTGTAACCATAGTAGAAAGCTCCAAGCAGAACTCCTTGTTGGTAACTGCTCCAGTTGAAATCCCCTGTCTGGTAATATATAACGTTTAGTTCGTAGTTTATCTTCTACAAATATTGTTTCATTATTTACGTTTGGGCAAGTGACGGAAAACTACTAAACAGACAATACAGTGTGATGTATTATTTTACCTTACAGTATTATTATTATGTACACGCTACAAACTTACATGTTATACCATTTAGATGATTGCCTGAATGCGTGAATTGCATGGATGGATAAATAAATGAATGAAGTAAATAATAACAACATACGAAAAAGATATACAAATTCATATTCAAAATGAATTTATCAAAACACAAGACTAATGACTGTAAACAATGCTTCAAACACTCGCAAAAATAAAACAACAGACAAGTATACAAAACCAGCAAGGAAAAGATAAATTAATGAATAAATGAATGATTTTGCAAGAAAAAAAGAAAGCAAAGTACAAGGTGTTTCTAAAGGAATGTGTTCTTACCTCCTCTTCTTCAGTGTCAGTTGCATTTATACCACATTCGTCTGCACTGGCCTGTGCATCGCTGTCCTGACCTGTACTATTCACCATGGCAACGATGGCAACACTGAGATTAGTTCGCATCGTGTATGCATTCAGCATTCCGAAGAATAACCAGATTGCCAGCACGTGGCGAGCTGCTATCAGGTCTGAAAACTTATGTTGATGAACAAAAACGGACAACGTTACAATGTTTGTTTTAGCTATCGGTATTGCATGTAGATATGTGTATGGTATAATCGTAATTCACGTAACATATTCAAATTCGGGTTTCTAAACTTAAATAAACTTAAATTTAAATATTAAATTCTGTTAATATGTATTGATAATATAATTGATAATGCATAAAACCCCCTCGGGAGGGATTGAAATTGGTTACAAATGAGATAAGTCGAAACATTCTATAATACAGATATCATGCTCATTGGTCGATTGATATCATGTACATCTCGTTCGTTATCAGGCAATATTCGGACAGCACTTGATGTCAAAGCAAATGTCACGTCACATTTAAACAACAATAAAGTACACAGTTTTTCTTTTTAGGAAAATCCGGTCATTTACAGATAATCTAAAATAAGGGACACAGTACCGCCCTTTACTGTGTGAAATCACAGCAAGGACTAGATGATTGCTTAAATAATGGATTCGACATAGCGCCATTCTAAATATATTACAGATAGGAGGGCGTTGTGCTCGGCGTCTGAGTGGTTCTTTGGGGTGGTGGAAAGAAATTTAAATTTGCAATCATGAATCAAATTTATATATTGAAATAAAAAAAACATGTTTCATCATTTGACAAGAAAATTGTTTAATGTCCCGAAATTTACTGGAACAAACACTGCGACAAGTAGTCACATGTTGATAAAGATAAGCTGCCAAAATGCTGTGTGACCGGAAGAGCATTCAATTATTTTTCAAACAAAATAATTCAAAAATTATATATTCATTAAAATCAGTTCATGCTACCCAAAATTATCATTTTTACGTCTGATACGTGAAAACACGCTTCCTTTGACGTGTATTAAAGCGTACACTGTAACGTCAATTAATGTTCAACTATTAAGTTATTCATTGACGAAGTGTCACACGCGATAATAATATTTATTATTTATGTACGTGTATTTTATTATCTCTCCCATATCTGCATATGTCTATATAATTACAAAGGTCAAATTTTCGACTATGTAAACATAATTTGGCCATTTTAGAAGATTATACCAACTGTTTTATTCAGAAAGACTTACCTTGTTTCTTTTGAATAATCTTGGATTCATGTCGATATCCTCTATTGGGTTATTTGAATAATCTACTGGATAGTTTGGCTGCTCAAACGCCCAGCTTACTCACTCCAGGCCAATCAGATATTACCGCTTCTGATCTAATATTCTGTTGATAATCAAATGTCCTATTGTTATTATACACGACTAATGGTAAATGCGGCTGCCGATAAATTCACTTGCTTCCAATTGAGAGCAGGTAGAAATTCGATTAACTTATAATAAGCTATATACGCAAACAACCTGCTTCGCTGTCGTAGTTGACGCTCGCAGTTAAAAAGGTCAAAATAAGTTCAACAAGCAACTTGGCGGGATAATTCATTCGATTGTAGTGAATTGGCTCTACAAAATAGTTCTAGCTACTCCTTTTATACATAAACGTTTATGGTGCGTATTTGGCAGAACAACAAACTAAGACAACTACATTCATAATAATGTGTTGCGTCGAATAAGCACGTGTTTAAATAACAAAATAGATTCTCTAGAAATATCAACTGTCTTCGGTTCGATATATAATTGTCATCCCGATCTTCAGCGAGGCGGAGAAGTTTCTGGGGCTGAGAACCACGCACAATATAAGTTACCCACAATTATCAGTGATTTGTACCATTGAAGATTGATTTCTCTAAACAAATATCTGGCTCACCCTTTTGTACTTTTCAAAAATACATTTTTGCAATGTGCAATCACATTATAAAAACAACCCTCAAAGCCTGACGAAGTGCTAAAATTGATGTCAGTGTTTGGGGAATATGATCACCAACACTAGAATAAAAAAAAACATTTTGAAAAACAATCGCCCCCCGGATATTCGCCCGAACAACTCCCGCTGTAAATTATTTTCGTTCATGTTTTATATTTGTGAAAATATATTTATACAGTATTGACAGCTGAGGTGAGTGGGGATTATTGAACGCTTGATATCTGATCAATTTGCACGGTATATCATTGCGTTTTGTTTTTGTTTTTCGTCTGAACGTGAACACTTTGAATCGATGGTATATGGTACATTGATTCAGACTGACAGGTGTTTGGAGTTTATAATGCGTTTATTTATGGTTACGATTTCGATGTCAGCTCCGGTTTACCCAAATGACGACATCTGCAGTCTCTGACTCCAGTAAAATAGTGGGACATTTAGCAGCTATGAAAAAACGGGAGGTGTGGCGAGTGGTGCGGCGACTGTCGAATTCCAATTTCCACACTTTTTTGTTTATGTTTATATTTATTACGAGTACATGGTCAAAACACGGTTTGAAAGATATAATCAGAATTGCTCACAACGTTCATAATATCCAATGGAAGATGACTTACCAGTTTGGTAACATATTTACACACACAAACAACACTGGCAATGTATATTGAAAAAGATGCTGAATTGTTCGAGTTGCGGACAACTAGTTACGCCCAAAAAGACCACGCCAACATTTTATAAACAACACCCACTTTTGACAAACCAGACCCGAATTGTAACTCAATGTTCAATTAACAGTTAACCAAACTTCATAAGCAACATAAATTGTTAACGTTGTTTAACGTCCGCATTTATTAACTCGAACTTAAATTAATAGTTAACAGAACTTTGAGTTACGGGCAACATATTTTGTTTTGTTTAACGTTTTATGTTTCCCGAAACTTGAAATTATGTTAACTGTTAGTCAATTCGAATTAGTAAATTTGAACAAAACATCTATGTTGTCCATTTGAAAGTGATTTAATATACACCATCGTATATAGCGTATATGCTATGCACTAGTGTCCACATATCGGCGATGCCCGTTACTAATTAACACTAATGCCACAGGAAATGATTTATTAAATTAAAAAAATGGATACAAATGATCAACAGTTACAACTGTTGGCGTAAATGTACTAGCTCAATACAAAACAAACGACTGACATCAATCAACAAAACAACTTACAATTATACTACATATAGATATATATCTGTTTAATTCGTTTAAACGATTCCTCTCATTAGTAAACAGCGCCCTCACTCAACAATATTTAGAATGA